ATTTCGTATATATATACACCTGTATGATTAAGTATATATATATATAAAATCGTTATCAGTTGTAGTGTCATGATGATCAATCTTGATGTTGTTCTGGTACGTTCATATCTGCTTACTGTTAGGCTCTCGGTATAGCGCCTCAACGAATATGGATATATAGACAGATACAATAACCGTGGTAGAGTATGTTCATACAAGATCCCTGCTGTTTTATCATCCTAGATCCGCAGTAAACAGTGTGTGATCGTATATCGGATACAAGCTAATGATGACAGGATGAGTACAATAAGCCAATTAGAATACAATGTCACCTAAAAATTTCACATGTGTTTCTATGATTTATAGTGTAAACGAGAGTTGGTACTCCATCACAATTGGAGCTGTTTTCTGCGATATAGAGTTTGATGATGCCAGCATAGACAGTTCGAGTCTCATTGCGATAGTGATACGCCACAGAGTTGTAGTATGCCACCTATATTTTGCTTTCACCTTCTCGCTTACCTATCACACTTCTGTCCTGCTTATTACAACTAGGTACTCCGCTGTGGCGGAGGCGGAGGCCAAAGCAATGCTAGAGGCCGGACGACGAGCTAAAGAAAGAGAGCAGCGACGCAAGGAACGTCGTGAGCGCATGGAAGCGGTGACGTCTGCACTCAATGCAGAAATAGACCGAAAGAGGGATCAGCGGTCGCAAATCTCAAGAGTGGACTATCATAAGTCGATCCCTGCCCCTACACGTGTGCCTACGCAGATTTCCGAAAGAGAAGTTGTAGGTGATAGTGTAAAGGCTGTGGAGGCTGAAGGAGAATCTACATGTAACGAAGAGAGTGCTACGCCAGCGACAGAAAAGCATGTCCCAGAGACGACTACTTCTAAAGTCGAATCACCAGTACAAGAGACTGAAAACGGCTACGATGTAAACACTGCTCAGGAAGAAGAGGAAGAGGAGTTAGAACTAACCGAAGCTGAAGATGCCGGTAAAGCTGAAGTTGAATCCGAGGTTGAAGCTGAAGCTGAAATCGATGCCAAGTCGAACGAAAATCCTTTCGAAGTATCTTCTATGGCAGAGGAAAGTAACGAAGAATCGGGTAGTGAGTTGTCCGAGACATGCGCTGATGAAGAGGCGGATACCGATATTGTTGGTGAAGAGAGCGTTGAGGCTGAACAGGAACAGGTAGAAGAGAAAGTCGTTCAGAAGGACGAGGTGATGACCGAGGTGAAGGCGTGCACTGAAGCTGTGGAAGACAAAGAGTACACACTAAGTGAACTGCAAGCTATGGTATGTTGCCATCGTCAACTTTAGATGTAGCTTTCTTTGTATTATTCTCTAGTATATATATATATGTGTGTGTGTGTGTGTGTGTGTGTGTGCGTGTGTGTGTGTGTGTGTGTGTATGTTGTGTGTGTGTCGTGTATGTGTGTGTGTG